CATTGCACAATGCCGATGGCAGAAACTCTGAAGTGAAGTTTAGATCTTCGAACTAACTACTTGAAGCTGATCATCCTCAGTATGCACCTGCTGATCTTCTATCAAAATGAGGATCCACCTCAGTGAATGCATAGGCATCATGACTTCACAGTCCAGACCCCTCCAATACGTACTGAGGGCAACACCTAGACACTCTTCAAACGCTCCACTCTTTGATTGCTAATCTCACCCCGGCAACTTAGCTTTGCTGCAGAACGATTTTCTCAAAGGGCTCATTGAAATTGCGCAGCCTTAGAACTCGACAGCCACTCCATGGATACAAAATCTGGAGCTGCTGCAGGGAATGCCGAACTCATTCACCAGATCAGTGAAGTTCTCTCTTCTCCAGCTTCTCCGACATTCCTGATAAGTAGCCCACTATAGCCTGCCTGATGTATTCTAGCATGTACCCAAACCACAAGGTCGCACCCGTATACTGCCACTGAAACATCTTCACCAGCACCGTGTTCTGTCGTAGTATGATACACATTTGAATTCAACGCAGATTTTCTCCAGTCATTCCACATATTGTAGACCCGGTTACATCTGAAGAGAAGGTGTTGTATTGTTTCTTTGGCCTGGCCAAAATTGTGCAGAATTGGGAGCACAATGCCATCTCAGCTGACCAATTTGTTGTAAGGAAGAGATTTCAGAAGACTTCCAAAAGCCAGAAATCGCTCATCTATGTGGTTTCGGCCTGCCATATCGGAGTAAGTCACTTATACCATTTCGTGTTTGGAGTCTTCAGTACACCTCCAGTTCAGTGCAGGGTTTAACATTCCCCCGGGAATAGATAACTTACTTCCGCAACAGGGGGTGAAACAGGGGGACAACCGGAGGAATCCGCTGGTGCACTCTTGCTAAGAGGGGGCTACACCCGGAGGATTTTAAGGGTTAAACCCGGGGACACCCGTTGTAAATGTCATTTTATTGAAAAAAATTTGGGAGCACTCACACGTAAATAGCGGACTCAATAGCTTTCAATCCACTGAGAACCCCCGGAAATTTTTTCCAAAAATATCCGGGCGACCCCGAGAAATCAAGAATGCTCTAGTCAAAACGTCCGGGGCTACGCCCCGGACGTTTTGTGGCGCATTTCTGGGGTCACCCGGTGGTTTTGAGCCATGCTTGTCAAACCCTGCTTATCAGTGATACCCTAAACGAATATGTTCTTGTCTCTTCAATTACCAATACGAATCAATCTTCATTCAATTTTAGCTCGGTCGATGAGGTATTTAATCCAAGGAAATGAGCAGTTGGGAGCTCCGGGCTGGCAAATAGGCTAAGATATAGTCTACTCCTCATCACATAATTTGGGTATGTATATACTGGGCATTGTTCAGTTAGTCATTCAAAAATACAACAGGCTTTTATTCTCAAGTATGACTATGTATTACATTCTAAGTCTGGCTTATTTACTCTTTGGTTTCACTTCGAATATGTCTTTCAGTTAATTGTGTTCTACTTTGGCAATTCACGATAAGATTCCTGATACCTTTGTGATAGAGTTTTGGACACACGTGCCATTTGTTTCCTCATGTTTGTGACATTTCCAAATTCATCAACATTTTTAGATGAGCCTTGTGAGCAACTATTCAAATACAAGCTATTTCTTCGAGGGCTGAATTAAGTGCGAGTTATGAGAATAATAGTAAGGTCTCTTAGCAAGAGCAGTTGTAAATAAATAGGTAATATTAACATTAATTATCTCGTAGTGTGAGGGAATTATCTTGGAGTTTATCACGAATTACACTCTACTTGGTGTTTATTAACCCGTCATGTAGCCGGTTCTACTAGAGATGTGTTCCTGGCTATAAAAAAAATACTCTTGTATGCTATAACTTTTCTTTTATGGCGCAACTTAACGGCCAATAGTTTTTAAAGGCAAGTGTAGCTTAGAAATGTAGTCACTCCCTCTGCATTCACTCCACTCCCATTGAAGTAAGTCTTTGTTGTCACCAAGTTATCTTTAGATGAATTTATAGTCTACAACAGTTGTACCAAGTTCGTTTTTTTTAGCACTACTAATTTTTCTACCTACTGGTGTTCCTACACGCTTTTAAACATCAACTAAATCTCATTACATTCTAGTCTACATCTTATATTTGCATCATAAAGAAAGTCTAACAAAAAATGAGATGATCAATAAATATTGACCTATTGCCGCACGAACTACGATATTTTGAAATGAATAAATATCGTCTCAAACTATTTCTCAATTCAAAGTGAAAAATTCAATGAGTCAACTAAACATTCTACACTCCAAACTATTAACTCTAGAGGTATCATGGTGCCTTGGCATGCACACAAAGTCAATTCAAGCAACACAAAAGCTCAAGATACTACTTACAGACAAAAAAAATATTCTTGGCTCCTCTCCAACGGTCAAAGATACTTACACTCTAATAAGACATTCAATCTATTATCTTATTTATCTTAATATAGTCACTTAACACTTGCTTCTCCCGTGACTTGAATTTCATTTGCTGTAACAAATGCAAGTGGCAGCTTCATTTCATAGCTTGGCTCTTCAAGGTGACGGACAATCACCTTCATACTCTCTCCATTGATGAACTTTGATTTAATTGAAGAAATAAGCTTCAGCGGACAGGTTTCGCTTCAAATTCATCTTCATACTCTCTCGATCAAATTTTTTGTTTATGATGATTCTTGCCAAAATTGAAACTTCACATATATATATATATATATATATATATATATATATATATTGATTTGTCACACTAATTACTTCCACATGTATCAAGTACTTGAAGTTTATCATTATTAATGAGACGGTTACATAATAAAATTAAGCATTATTCAGCAACACTAAGGTTTAGAGAAAATATCATTCAAAGATAAAAACATAAACTATGAAAATGAGATATACCAACCATGGTTCTACTCTTTCTTATATAGCTTTTACCTACAACTATAAAGAGATAAGGTTTCATTTTCATCATACATTTCACTCCTAGTGGATGGATGATATGACGGATAACTCTAACAATCACAAAGATTGTTAACGTGACGCTCTCAACTAGCACACTCAATCATTACCTAACAAGCACACGAATTGTTAACGTGACGCTTTCAACTAACACACTCAATCATTACCTAACAAGCACACGGATTGTTAACGTGAAGCTTTCAACTAGCACACTCAATCATTACTTAACAAGCACAAAGATGATTAACGTGACGCTCTCAACTAGCACATTCAATCATTATTTAACAAACACATGGATTGTTAATGTGACGCTTTAAACTAACACACTCGATCATTACCTAACAAGCACATTGATTATTTATGTGTCGCTGTCAACTAAAACAGTTATTTTCTATCTATCAAGCATGTGTATAGTTCACGTGGCAACTATGACTAATGCAAGCTTAAGTAACCTATACTTTAAATCTAATTAACTAAAGATGTTTACACCTACACTCCGTAATGGGGTTTAACCAAGTGCTTATAATCTATGAGAAACAAAATTATATTGACTATTTTTCAAAAAAACAAGAAGAAAAACAGCAAAAGTTTGACTCAAGATGACTCACATGAAGTGGAAAACAATAAAAGTCTCAAGAAGTTAATGACAACTTCTTTTCACAACACACTCAGAAATTTATCATTGTTGATTTGAGATAAGGCACATCCAAGCATGTTTTAAATCCTGACTTGAGCTTATCCAGATTTTATTAGTTACTTCTTATTTCTTCATTCTTCTTATTTGCTAAGTAAAGTATATATTCCAAAATTGTGTAGCGATTGCCCATTTTCAAGGCATTGATACCATATGCTGTTGTTTTTTTAATGTTACTTTGACGCAATGTGTCATTTTTCCCTCTATCTGCTCTTCTCTCTTTGCTCTCTACACTTTTCTTCTCTAGCACTAATATGGCCAAAGTTATGAGATGTTGTGGCTGCTTGGCTAATTCGCTTTAGTATTCATGAACATTTCTGAAGGCGTGGGCTACGGAATATCGAAGATTCGGAATTTGGTTCTCTTCCAAGAATGCAGAAACTGAGAATTTTGATCTTCTTGTCAAGAAGTTTGACTTGTTCAATGCTACCGTGCAATCTGATATCTGATTCTTTTTTGTTTATCTATATTTGATTTGGTTCTACCAAACATATATGATACAACAGGCTCTTCCGTCGCCCTTGACCATGCTGCATTCCACTAGAAACTCCTTGTAGGCATGAGGTTTGTCTAATTGTCAAAGTACCGTTCACACACCATCAGAACTTGCTTCAATCTTCCTGTAGATGTGACCACCTGCTTGGTGAGAACCACTTTCTGAGGTGTGAAATTTTTGGATTGTATCTTCTATTAGTGGTGTTTAGACCTGCGAGGTAAATAGGGTTTAACCCTATACCCTAATGTGTTCTTGAACTCCCTCTCCGTCCTCACTATGCTCTCTCCTTCCAAATACATTTGTTCAATAGAACTCAAGCACACTTGTTCAATAGAACAAGATCTATTTGTAAATTTATGATATAATAATTACAACTAAATGTTAAATCTGTCACACTAGAGGTATTCAAAATTATCTCCAGCTCTAAACCCAAACTCTCCATTTCTCTTTGGAACTTCCTTTCAGTTTGCCAATTCTTCTCTGTTGTAGAACGCTACTGAAACTAAAATCTCTTAAAACTACCTAAAACAAGATTGTAAATAGATTGAGATGCCAAAATGTTCATAAAGTCAAATTATTGAAAATGAAGTGCATAAGTTAGAAAGTGTTACAAGCAAATCACAAAAATGCAAAATGTCAACATTATAATATCAAAATACATTTATAAGAGATCAAAAATGAAAAAAAAAATGTAAAAGTTGATGAACAAAATAAAAACTTCAAAAGTTGAAGTTTCAGATTTGAATTAAAAATGTATGAGTCAAAGCTCTCTGTATATATATCAAAACTTAGGCATATCATTAACAATATTGTATTTTCCCCTACAAATATTTCTTGCGTGCACATGACAAACAAAAAAGTGAAAACATTCAATTAATTTATATACTGCAGAGAAAATTATTATTTTCAGTTAATTTAAAGAGATCACCTACTTTTAAAAAAAACTTGCTGGATAGTAAAGAAGTTAAAAATTCTCCGAGCTCAAGTAAACCAATTTCAGACCAGACACATGACAGTAAACCCTACATGCTCGTGAACCCCGTGACAAGAGGCCGAAATCCTCAGAGATTTTACGATGCTGGTGCTGCGACGGTGCTATAGCACTTGGATTGTGACTTTTTCAAAGGCAAAACCGTTTTTTCTATTAAAAAACTGACTGCAGCACAGATCGAAACAGCCTAAAGTGGACCGGAAACCTCACAATTTTGATAAACTCAGCCACCTCCTTCGAGAAGGCTGTGCGAATAAACATGATAATGAGGAATCTTGTGAATAGCCACGTAGTCTCACCAACTTTGTTTGATGGAGCACCTCATAAGATCCTGATTCAATTACATCCGAGGGAGACAAAATAAAGCTTACCCCCGCATTTGTTCCATTTTGTATCAGGGTAATAGTCACTTTGTATGGACTAAATGATGACATCACCCTCCTGAAGCCTTTCGCTCTTAGGATGATTCAACACATTCTGTCGAAGACGACCAACACAGCTCGAGATTAGATGCAACTTCCCCATTCGACGAAATTCATCGATGTTAAACAAACTGCATTTCATTCTCTTCTAATTGGTGTCATATTCTCTTCAATAAATTTATTTGGAACTCGCGAACTAATTTATGAGTTGTTGGGATCAAGGGCACAGGCGTAGCTTTTCTACTTCGAGGAAGTAAGCAAGAGAACAGTAAATCATTAAGCATTTGCGAGCCCTTACTACTTTCAGTATCCGTATCGCCGCCCTGTTTCCCTTCTTGGCTGACAGCATCTACATATGTGGAACTTGAAGATTCAGGCTCACCCCTCTGCACATGAAGATGTAAAGTCCAGTTACATCGCCAGCGTAAGAGTTCATCGTGACCACTTTCACCGTTGCTCACAGCATTAGCTTCAAGTGCACTTCATGTCATCTCATCAGTACGTCTTACTTATTGTCTGCTTCTTGGCGCAATCTTTCCACTTCGACCTCTAGCTTCATGCAAGCAGCCTCGATGTCCAGATTCTTTTGTGATAGCTCCCTCCATTGAGTATCTAGAAGGCTTAGCTCAGCCGCTGCAGCTAGCTGCGGATGTCCAATTTCCAAGGGTTAGAACTTGAGAGCAGTGATCATCAGACAATCTTTCCTTTCAACCAAGAGAGGGAAAATACTTTGGAAGAACCAACTGAAAAGAAACGAAACATAGGAGACATCTATATCTTTATCTTTTTCTATATATCTCGCCTACCGCTACTCGCATACCTCCTGGAAGCATATCGCAAGATCTAACGGTAATTGAAGCTTTCGAATAAACCACATGTAATGTAGACAACTGCCTAACTCTAGCTCTAGCTGGTGGCTCTACTGCGAACCAATGCGCTGTCTATAAACCTCAATACAGAAAGAATGATAATGATAACTGCGCCGAATGTCTCCCTTCCTGATAAAATTGCCAACGATCCCTGGCCCGGTACAAAACTGTCCATATCTAGTCCTAAAGCCCGGTACAACTTCAAACTACATGTGGCCGCCATCCCACTTTACGTACATACCCTGCTAAAAAAATCCATGCCACCTACTTTTGCCCACATGTCTGCAAAACAAGTCACTACGATCCAACTCTAGCACAGTTTGGAAGAAGATTTGTTGGTGAGTTCTTTCTTACTTGATTTGACTTCCTTTCACGATTCAGAGCTTCAATCTCGTGACTGTGATCCCGAACGATCTGTTGTATCCTGTTGCCCGTTGGACGGTTAAGCTTCAAATCAGTTCATCAAGATAAGACTTGCGTTTTGTAAAGACTAGTGCACGCATAAAAATGGGACGGGAACAGTGGGCACATGACGAATTTTGGCAAAATCTCTTGGCCCGTTCGTTCGCGTACAGTTCGGCGATATCAAAAACCTATGGGTCCATTATTTGCGGCAAGAAACTGCAGAGAAATTGAAAAACTTCGGCTGAAATACCTTGCATTGAAGGCTTCCAAATGCTGATTATGAACCCTCCAGGCATTAGTGCCATATTTTAGCATAAGCTCTAAGTTCTCCAACCTACGCACAAAAGTCAATGATTTAATACATATCGGAACTCTGCAGCCTTACCACTCGTTGCCTCCCTCATTTCTAACTAACCAAATACTTCCGACCTGCTCCCTCAGGTGTTCACTCGGGTCATATATTGGGCGTGTCAACCATCACCTCTAACACATGCCAGATTTTCTTGTGCAATTTTGATGGGAATATGGAGCCTAGGTACCCCTCTTAAATAATTTCTAAGCTTCGTCGTGAGTTCCGGGAGCTTCTCTCAACAGTGACCAATGCTGGAAATATAATCAAAGCGACATTCAACCACAAATGAAGACAACTCTACTAATTTCCCACAGACAACAACTTAGAATATAATTTGACAATTCTTAGAGAAAAAATTTCCGTTCCAGTAACATAACATAACATGCCGTAACTTTACTACTGGAAATGCGGGGACAATTTTTCGAAAAAAATTGACAAGACCTCCGGAAAATCTTGACTTGGTTGATCCTCCAATTGAAAAAAGACAATCACCATCTTGAAATATACCTGATGGTCTGATGTTGCAGCTGACTCTGTGCATTCTGTAATGCGTTTTTCCAAGCATTAGGATCATTGCGTCTACTCGCAGGAGGTGGCTCTAACTGATATCTCGACATATCGATCGTGATAGGTGGTTTCCCTGCGCGAACTCGTTCGTACTCTTTAGCTAGCATGGGACAATTCTGGAAGAAAAGAAGAAGAGAAAACCACAGGACACCACCTTATTAATACGAAAGATATCATCGTACTTGGCAGGACATGAATTAAGATACAAACTCAACAGTCTTGGACATTCAGTGTTACTTCATTCTGAGTGATACTCAGATCATTTCAACAATTACGAATTAGAAGTCAGAGCAGCTCCAAGAAACCTCTAAGCCTCGGCCTAAAATCATGAAGTCTCACAACGACGACAGAACTGACCGGCGCCTAAGTGCACAATTACTACTACCCGGTAGATCATGAGGCATTATGAACTCCTACATGTTTAGAGGACTTCGAGCTGGATATGAATATAACGAGAAAAACGGGCCTTCAAATTATCCCCGCCTGCAAGTGGAAATACGCTGAAGTAAATCCAGGGATTTAAGCGAAGTTGGAAACCAGGGAAGGATTTTAATAACACTCTTTCAAAAACCTCATGAGTACTACCAGCGGAAAACCTCAAACATCATCCTCGAGTGCCACAATTACCTCAAAATCCAAGACGGGAGCTGGTGGAAGTTCCGCAAGAAAGTCTGCAGGCCTCTTGGTACTGTTCCTCATTTCCTCCTCGATAAGCTTGTCCACTTCGGCTTTCAGCTGAGCGTCAGCATAATCGTGGTCAATGTAGGGCAGAGCATCGACCGAATCAACCATAGCCCCATTCCGCCACCGCCCTTGGGACGGAGGCGCTTCGAGCATCAAAACGTCCGAACTCCCCATGCCGAACTTCGTCCAAGAAGAACCTGCAGCAGTTCAATACTCAGCTCTGCAAACCGCCCAGCCTCCCGGAGCTTTCCCCACCTCTCCCACTTCACGGAAACGGCCGACTTTCCGAATCAATCGCACTCATTTCCCTCCCGTCCACGTCCCAACAATTGCACTGCACGAAAACAATCCCTCAAAACCTCCACAACTCCAACACCGGCTCGCTCGATGCGCTTTCGACTCCTAGACGCAGAGCAACAACTCGTGCAGCGCGTTCGTTCTTGATCGAGAGTTTCGACTCTCCTCGAAATGCTAGTCCGCGCCAAAGCCCCGGCTAAACCATCGACTGTCAGCAGCTCCTGAATTCGCTCGTTGTCACGACCTCCACCCATCTAGGGTTCAGTCCAAGGGTTGCAGTCAGAGTCTCTCATGTTTCACTCCCTTGACTGGTGTGCAACTGATTTCCTGGAACTCTATCTTGATCATCATTTTATAACTGGTGACGAGAATGTTTTCTAAAATTTGCACATGTCCAAATTGTTTGACTACATTGAATTGGCAATACTTGATATTTCGATATACATGATAGATTTGGACGTTGATAACGGACAAGATGATGTAGAAATAGCCCCTCAATGTCGTGAGATGTAAGATGGACTATCTCTGTGATCTCCAAGTTTGGATCATTCAACTTGAGATAGTGATATAATAATTATATGATCATTTTTAAAAGCACATACAAGTACACTTTAGTCATAATAGAATCATACAAAAAATTTCAGATTCAAACATATTCATATCATTCTTGTCTTTGTTGTTAGAGTTGCTTACACTATAACTAATATAAATTGTTTACTCTCTTACCCATGTTACGATACTCTCAAATCTATTACACAACTAATATAATAGGATCATAATTTCTTACAAGTCTTTTCAAAACATAACATTGCCAGATGAATAACTCAAAATTACCAACTCTCCTCGCCTGGACTTCCACTGCCATTATAATATATTATATAGTAATATTAGACGACTCAAATGGTTTCAAATAAATTGAAATTAAACATATGTTCTATGAATTATATTTTTTGAGATTTTTTGATTCACGGATAAAAAGTTATTTCTCTTTCTGCATAATTATCTGAAAATGGCAATATGTATCACTCATCCACCATTATTCAGGAACTGCTGTTGAATAATGGCTGAGAAATACCACAGTTGGACCAAAAGAATTAACTTGTGACCACAGTTGGATCAAAAGAATTACAATCAATTTCACATGGATTTATCATATGAAATTTTTCATATATTTCATATTTTAGCATACTTATATTCAATTTTCACAATATCCTTAGTTATATTGTGTAAAGACTATTTTGCTTTTCACTTATAAAAGATGATTACAAAAGTAATCTTCAATAAGAAGCAATATTCATCACTGAAAACACGTTAAAGTTATTTTTTTACTTTATCTTATAAACCTTGCATTTTTTATGATTTGCTTTAAGAGTGAAGTAGTAGATTTTGATTGCTTTCTGAACCAATGGATATGTGATCCATGATGGGAGACTTATGATACATTACTTACTTTTACCTGCATTTTAGACTCCAAATCATTACACATTTTGCCAGCACTATTGCTTGAAACTTATTATCATAAAATATTGATTAAATCAAATCCATAAGATTCAATCAAATGGATTGAATTAATTTTTTTTAAACTATTCATGAATTATCAAAATTGATACAGTAGATAACAAATTTTCTTGGTTCAATGAAAATCTGTGTATAGTGTCAATTTTGCATAATTACCAATTTATTGTTTGCTTGCTTTTATATTTGCGTGAAAATATTTGTTGAAAGTTGCAACTTTGATTCAAGAATCATATAGATAAAAATTCTAACCAACCCAAAAGATGTTTAGAGGATGACCATCATATAGAAAATTAGAATTGCATTTTCTTTTGTTGTGACGAGGGTTTAAGGAAAAGGTCATGGTTCCTGGGAATGTACTTCCATTACTTTTATATATAAGCCTTTGATTACATACTTGTGAATACCGTAGTTTATCAACGATTGTAGAAATATATCTTCCAAAAGTATCTTGGAAATCTACAGGCGGTGTAAGTTTTTCTGGAAGTTATTCTTATGGCCTCACTCATCAGTAGTTTTCTTGAAGCTAGAATCTAGAAACTCGTAACAAAAGTCAAATGACGACAAATGTTGAATAAATTTACTATTTATAAATATACTTAAAATATGAATGCACAGATATTGACATTTCGTAAAATCCTCCCAGTCAGAAAATGGAAACTTCCGCTCGAGACCAGACCCGATGATACATCAATCGTCGATGAACACTCATGTGAATGAAATTGTTTTATGTTTTCCCTCCGGAAGAGCCCGGCACGTAGATTAACGTGCCAGGCTTGCAACAAACTTATCATCATAGAGATATGAATTTCTTCACAAAATGAGCTGATCCCTTTCCTACTTCCTCATCACCTTCTTTAGCAGAACCCCAAATCCGACTTCCAAACTCGTAGTACAAAGTGAGTCGTTCCTAAAACGCACGAAGAAGATCGAGCTAGTGCCTTGATTAGTCATTGATATGAATGCGCTAAAATGTCTTTCGAGCGGACAAGCTACAGATCGAGTGACAAGATTGTTGTTCGTTCCTTTCCTTCGGCCTGGGATGGTACTCTTGAGCTTACTCTCCAGGATGGACCGAGGATTTATGTTCCAGTACGATGATTCCTGAGGATACGATTTCGTACAATTCTTTCAAACAATAGACAGTTCCTTTTTTTTCAACGACTCCCTTGCAAGCGTGCGAAAGATTCAGCTCCGCCAAAGTCCTCGTCTCAACCGTCGCTACACCTCTTTAGATGTAGATGACTTCACTTTGTTCTCCTACATGCAATATTTTAATCACCTTCCTATAATGTCGAGTGGACATGACAGCCACATGGATCTGATAGATGATGTTCATAATCTTTCGAAAAATGTGATGTTTCCTACAGCATGCATTACAATTCGCTTCTGTGAATGAAATATAGGACCAAGTTTACACTTTTGTGAACGGAAATTATGGAAATCGTTAAAAACATCGTGAGTGAGTGAAGTGTAAAGTTCGCCATATTTATACGATGAGATCTCATGTTTCGTTTTGCTAGCCTTGGAATTACGTAGCATTGTGGACGCAAACCTGGCTGCTTTCATGGGAGAATGTGCGGGAGTCTCCATGGAAAAGAGTGAGAGAGTCTTCGATATTATGCCACATGGGCTTCACGAGATTTTGCTGTTTACGATGTTGTGTAACCTTAAGTTTCTTCAGGTGATGCTTCTTGGATTACTGCAGCATTCTGTTATCATTTCATCTTGAGTATTCTTGTTTTCTAATACTTTGTAATTTTCTACATAGTTCCAACTATCTTCATGCTATTTGGACGAGAGGCCCAGTCTACCCGATGCCCATTCGAATCCCGTGAACCATTTGGACGTGGCTTTCACGAGGATTTAGCGCGGATCGAACCAATTTCAGACCGGCTACGTCGTTGCCATCACTAGTCATCAAGCTCTTACGCTGGATGATCCAAATGCCTGTCGGCATGGATCAAGGTAGAATTGATGCTGGATGTTTAACACCACACACGTACGCGATATAATGTGATGAAGTTCTTCCTGCTCTGCACGCAACCATCGATGAAATGTGTACAGATGGGGGCAAACGGCAAATGTTTCATGCTGGCGCTGTGAGGAACTTTGGTGCGCCTCTAGTTTTGAGAACGAAGCCTCTAGATGCTATTCATCTCCGGCGAGGTCTCGAACTTGTTCGAACTGTTTCTCCACTCGTTTACGAGCAGCATCGCAGTCTCTCAGCTCATCTTGAGCCTTCGCCAGAGCTCTGTCTCTCTCGTTCAAAACTTGTACCAGTTCTTGAAGTTTGTCCAAGGCATTATCTCTCTGTTGAGTTCTGTGCGTCAGCTCCAGGCGGATGTTCTCCTCAGACCATAACAAAGCTGCATAGATGTAATCGAAGTCACAAATTACTTCCCGGGCCTTTCGACAGCCAAGACAAGAATCGTTCTGCGAGCGACCTTCATCTTTCCTCGACAACTTTGTCGGGCGGGAACCCTCGACCTTGGAATGGACACTCTCATCGTCAGGGTCACAATCGTCACCTTCGCCCGGTACGGCTGTGGTCGACGAAGGCGCTGTGCTTGCACGCTTTCTGAGGTAGCCAGAACGAGAGGGCCCGCGAGGCAATGATAGAAGTAAACTCCATTCCTGTTGAGAAGATGCCGTCTGGTCGATCTTCTGATGCGTTTCAATGTTGTCCATTCTTTGTGCTGAATTGCTCACTTGAAGAATCTCGTCCTTGCCAGTGTCATCGAAAAGTTCTTCTTTTTCTGAAATCTGAGAATCGAGCATCCGCTTGTTGCTGCTGGAGTGGGCACTCTTCATCTTGCTGACCTATGGTCGTTACAAAGCTCAACAATGTTGGAAATCTATCTCGGAGTTTGTGATGCCTCGATTGAAATTCGCCCTTGCCCAGATATCTCCGTCTCGGCTCTCAGGAACACTCTTGATACTCCGACCTCGATGGAATTGTTAGTTGAGGGTAATCGTCTAGTTCATGACGGGAGGCATAAGCAGAGAAGGTCTGATTGAGTTCGCAGGATTGAGTCCCGCGGGATTAACACCCCATGCGATAGGTCTTGAGAGATGCACATCAAATCTTCGACCTCCGGATCAGCAGGGACGAAAGAGGTCATCCACGTATAGTCGAATGTTGATGAGTCAAGCCAGGAGATGGTCGTGCTCCGGAACGAAGAGTAAGCGTCGCGCGAAGTTGAGTGCATATGTGCAAAGGTTAGCCAAGAAGACGGCACGCCACACTCAGCTCCCAGGGGAATTCCAACTGCTTCTAAATAGAGGCCTTATCGCATTTTCGAAACTATGGGAATCCAACCAAGTAACGAGGAAATCATCTGGAGACAGGAACCGTCGCTCTGATGAGGGGCATTCGGGAATCTCCGCCTGCAGCCGAACCCAACGAGATGAAGTGGAGCTCTTGCAAAGAAGATCCAATGTATAGGAACGTGACTCGGGTAGCCATCCCCTCCTTGGGATTATTGCGGTCATTTCTAGTGTAAGGAGATGGACTATCAGGGCATGTCGATCAGTGGATCTCGAGCAGAGTGAAAAATGAGTTCGAAATCCTGCAGACCAGCTTCATCAAGAGCACTGGCAGAGGCAGCCGCCGTCCCTGGAGCATGATCAGTGACGGTGCTGAATTAAGCTGAGCAGGACAAGGACAAGCAGAGGCCGAGCAACATTGGTTCGAAGGTCAAGTATGGGAGTATTGCCTGCCTAGTGGAGACAGAGAAACAAATGTTCCACAACTCCAGATTGGATTCCTAAACTGGCACGTGGATGGTAATTCTCATGTTGAAAATTGCCGTTTGCAGCTTCTACGCATCCACACCTTCACATTCATGGCATACTCGATCTAACCGACGTAAGAAATAGTGCAGAAAAGGAAGAGACAGCCCGAGCAATAATGACACGAGGAAGAAGATGTGCCTTAGAAAGGAGCAACCAGAGCAGAAAAGGGTCTGAGTAGTCGAACGCGAAGGAACTTCCAACCCTGGTTCTGACCCTAGGCCCGAAAATGTCAGTGCACCCATCAAACAATGAGGAGAGAATGAAGGAGAAAGAAATGTGCAGTCGAGATGTAAGAACAGAGGAGCCAATAGAACGTGGCAAACAAAGTATTGTATCAGAGCGGTATGAAATTGGCCAGTGTATACAGGACACGCACTTGAATATCACATCGGCCTCTCATCCGTTGATCGTTCTTGGATCCCTGTCAAACAGGATTAAGAAAATGACACATCTGGTCATAATTTTAATATGTGAATGCTGAAACTTTAAGGAAATCACTTTTTCTATGTTATCATTCATATAATAATTATTCTTATATACGAAACAAAGATATAAGTTTTTATATGTATGATAAATAATGTTAGGATTGAATTTGGATATTTTGGTAATTTAGATTAGTTTGATTTGGATTGAGTTAAATTTAAACTTCAAATATAATTTAGAATTCAAGTCTCTATTCTAAACATATGTGACTAATCTTAATATCTTTCAATTTCTCTAATTATGATTATATTTTCAAAGATATTATCTCTAAATATTTTTTTTTACTATAAGATACATGATTAAGAAAATTAACTTCATAGATAGAAGTAGACACTAAATATTAGATTGAAACTCAGATTAAGATAATAGATTAATTATAATATGTCTTCCGCTGTTGACACAACCCGACCTTAGCTCAGTTGGTAGAGCGGGAGACTGTAGTCGTAAGATCAGCTATCTCTAGGTCGCTGGTTCGAATCCGGCAGGTCGGACAATTCTTTTGATATCTACAGGAAAGCAGACCAATGATCGGGGTAGGAGTGAGTTTCCGTTTGACTCCATGTTTGTGGACAATGCTAGCGGTGGGCTGGGCATGAACTCAATGTTGAAGTGAAGGAAAATCTATTAAATTCCTTAACATTTGAAATGATGTCAGTACTGTGTGTGAGTACTATAATACAGTAACACTCGCGGATGACCATGAGAGGAGAGAGGCATCGTTGTTAAGAACGATACACATGGATCGATGTATGTCCTAGGGGAGTTTCAAACTCTCGCTACTGAGGGAGACTTGAATGTATGGGGCCCATCTGGAACTAACGTATAAGACTGAGTATGCTTTGGGATGCACAACTTTGGAAAGAGAGAGTAGTACGTTTCCGTTAACCAGACCAGAGGACCACAACAGCGAATCAAATGCGGTATGGAGTAAGCCTTACCAACAACTTCATTGACTCTACAACAATTTTAATGTTGTAGAGTAGATTTTACTTTAAAATCTCTAATGGACAGCAGACCACTAAACGGGGTAGGAGAGACTTTCAAGCATGGATCATCGAAAAGATTGAACAAATAGACAATTAGCCAGTGAGTAGAAAGAAGATAGATACTCTTCTTGACCAAGAGGGAGAGGTGCATATTGATGCCATGCCATCACGGAAAGAGAGAAGAATCCACAAATGGAACCGTCGTCACAGAGAAGAATATGAAGAAAATCACCTTCTATCTATGATATGGTCATACTATCAGAATCTGAACCTGACATCTTCATGCATGAACATTTAATCGAGTCAGTCAGGTCTGCGCCGTGAGTTATCGTCTAGAAGCTCATGACCGACATAAATCTCCGATTCAGGGCAGTGGCTGCCATGTGTCTCACATTGCTGTCGATCCCATAAGTCCAATGTCCTAAAGTCTGAAATGTAAAGGCGTACAAGAGTTCCTCGCATCTACAAAGATGATTATGATCATCATGACCACGGTCCTTACCTCGGGACAGTATGCTTTCTTGGGGAGCAAATTGCCACCTTTATTTCTTTGAAGGTTCTTGGGCTGACCTTTAAGATCTTCTATCTATGGGGTTGTCACCTTCATGATGTAGAACCACAAAAAGCCCATGAATACAGTCACTGAAACCGTAGACATGTATAAGGAGAACAGTATGTAACCTCTCCAAATTTCGAGCCAAAACATCCCCAGGTCGAAGATCGTTAAACAGAAGAGCAGTGCCAAGAACCTCCTGGAGAGCTTGATCACTTGGGGTGGCCATGAGCCCTTGCTAGCATTTGTGTGGACGTACCATAAGAAAATGTCCAAAGCCAGGAGAACAAACCTCAGATACGTCAGGAACAGAAGTAGCTGGTCTTCCCAATCTCTTGGATAGAACGCAACTTCATCAACAACTGTTACAGCAGGCTCTTTCGGCACACTTCTCCCCATTGTGCAGGTTTCTGTCGATAAGAACGTAACACAGGTTTATTATGGAATTTGACATAAGTGGATGTTGTATGCTCGCACCGCCAAATTTACTGGAAAACCCGTCAAGCATCAAGTCAGGAGTATGTTGTCATCACGATTACAAAATTGACACGAACCACTTCTATCAGTGTACGGGTTTTTTCCATGATTGAAGAATCTGCATGGAATGATCATTTGAAGAGCGTGGAAGTCTGAGTCAAATGGAATTAGTCTGGTTCTGGTTCTCGAAGATAAAAAACCACACTGTCAAGTGGAACCCCGACAGAACCCTCTAATCAATCTGAAAGGAGTCGGAAGGTGTTAGGGCGTGCGGCAGGCAAACGGGTCCATCACACGAAGAAGTATTATGTCTGGCGTTATATGATCTGCTTTGGCGAAAGGAAACGATTCATCGGAGATGGTCTCCTGCGATGGCTCAAAACAAAGAAACCCACACACACCAAGTGCAAGCACCAGTTGCCAAACACTTCCAACTCTCTCAATATTTGTTTCCCTCGGCAAGTATGGCAGCATGGTTTCCACCTCGCCAGTGAGCCTCCAACTCTTCCATTTGACAGTACATCGCGATCAAGCCAAGCTGCATATTCTCGTCAAGATGATCCCTTCAGATGCATTTCGATGCGCAGCAAGTGTTGAGAATCTAAGCCAATAATAGAACTTGCTCCGTTATAAAACCGGAAATGGATGATACAAGCATTAGAAAAGAACCAAGAATTCAAAAGATCTCGATCCTTGAAATCAACCCAGTTGTATTTGAAATCTCAACCATGAGTTCGAACGATCAAATTTTGGTCCGTTCAAGCCTTTGGGTGTTAGCGATTGTACCGCTTAGTTAGAAATGTGACTACGTGCGAGGTAAATTGTGATATATATATATATATATATATATATATATACATAAAAGGCATACGTGGATCGAATTTTCACATTCTGATCACTTGGAAGAGACAAAGGACGGACATGTCTGCTTTCGCATGTGTGCGATTCACCATCGTCTGTATTGAAATTGGGAGATTCCACATCTAACCAGTGACGACACAAAGTCCTTAAATTTTGAATATTCTCTTCTGATATTCATAACAATATAGTTCGCTTAATGCGGAACCCAAGCAGACGGAGACAAGTCGAGTGACTTGAGAACGAACAGATCAACTGGATTACTTTGAAGTCTCAGCCGAACTCCCCTAGAGCTCGATGCTTTGAACTCTGTTGTCTTTGACCTTTACCGTTTTCAGTTTCCCCATATAACTTGCAGAACTTGCATTGCCACTCGTTCTGCAGCGTGTGACTGTGCCTCTGTCTCCTGTTTCTTCGCTCATTCAAAATACAGATTTTTTTCACTCTCGGACTGATCAGATTCTGGCTGAGCAGAAGCTATTTTTGAATTTTCATCTGCTTCCTCTGCATTCTCAATGTTTCAATCATAGTCGATATCATAGTGAAATTTCACCACACAGGTTCATGAATTCTGTGTAATTGCTAGTTCTGCACGTTCTCATGATGAGGACTCGTATCCCGAAACTCTTTTGAAGTACCCATTACAGGAAGAAACTTGGAATTGGAATCTATTGTAATATACTTGAAGAAAATTTAGAGTTTTTTTTTCCGAACTTTGCAATCATAAGTTTTAAGCCCAAGAAGAGCACTGTAGATTCCATAGAAACCATACGCTATGAGCAAAAGCTGACATCTTGGGAACAATGAGTTGCAGGTCGGAAGAAGAAAAAGCATACTTACCTGGGCGGGGCCCATCGCTGATCCGGAAGGGCGATGACCTACGACGAGCCTCGCCATTGCACTTCGGCCGGGCAAATCGTAGCATTTCCCCAAGGGGAAAATGCACGTCATAATTTGTGTCGCGCGGCCCTCCACCAATTTAAATTCAACAAGGATCTCTCCATAGAGTCTCATATTCGTTGAAATGAAAGAAAAGCATCGGAGCCCATACCGCTCTATCGTCGTTTTATTCGTCGTCTGCCACCGCTGCAGAATGTATAGAAAATCTTGACCTCCTGGAGTGTATGGCGATGTTTAAGTGACACCCTGGAGTTCAGAGAGTAAAGAAGTCCGGGTGTAGTCTGGAGCTTGAGGGCATAAATGCCCTCAAGCTACAGACTAACATTCCATTTCACTGGATTGTGCCTGAATATAAGAAGTTGAACAAGGGTCATTGCATAATCATTTTCACGTCCTGCGTACCGTCGAAGTTGAATTGTTGCTATCAACAGGCGCCAGCCGTGCTTCTTGATCCGAGAAACTGTGGGGATTAAGAAAAGTTAACTTCATCGCCACTTGTGTACATGTACAGCAGGCACGCTTTTGCAGATGCTGCTTTCGTGAATTGATGGTGAAATGGACTCGTGTTAAGTTCCTTCCGTCTCGCTTAAGTATAATTAAGTGGAATCAGTCGTGGATATAAGAAGGGACAGACAGAGTTTTTGCCTTCCCAATTGTTTATATTCGTCTTTTCGAGTGGGAAGGGAATGACTTGCACAGCGCTGAAGGTTTGTCTGATGTCAACACGAGTCCAACAGAGGAGGGCTAGAAAGATAATATCATCTGGTGGAAACCTGCCAATCAGTTCTGAATCGTCGTAGCTGTAATGAAATGAAGGAATCCTGCGCATGATCATTTGTGTTTTCAGGATTTTAAGTGCATACGAAGGAGGAATTTCCGATTGTGGATCTCTTTTTCTGCGAAACAAGCAACTCATTAGTCCGTTGCAAATCCTTTCTGCACTTTCTACGTTATGTTGATCGCTTCAAGCATTTCAAACTATAAATATCAGTTTATCGACTGACGCATGTACCACAAAGCAAAGTTTCACACTGAGTGACAAAACTTTAGATATGCCATAAACGCAAAACTCCATCCTGCCAATTTGGAATCTCTTCAAACCAGACCCATCAGTCTCATCCCACGTCCTTCTTGATCCAATGTGGGAAGAACAGTTGACCAGGTCACTTCCGAAACAGAGGTCTTCGTAGTTTCATCACGCAAAGTGCCGTATCATACTTGAACAATGTATTGAAATTAAACACTTCAACTTCACAATGTTACACGCATTTCGTATGAGAAAAAAATGTAACTTCTTTTCTTCAAACATTCACGTGTCAGCTTCTAAGCTTTGAGGTTGATTTTTTCTCTTATGCTGAACGAATTCTATGTCAGCTTCATCTAATTACACTATACGACGTCAAGAATATAGCACTGATTTCATTTCGAAATCCATGCGTTATGTCATTCATCAGACAGCAAAATGCAAATTGGGAAAAAGGTATGGGTCATGAAATTGGAGTTTGATGGAGCTCCTGCTCTGACTGTTAGATTTTCAATGATTCTGGACCGGCTCTCGAAGACATGTCTTTTTTGAGTTCTTTCACAGATACCACTTCCGTAACTGCAGACAAGAACCTTACTAGAGCTTTTCCTCATAATAAATTCCACAAACTGATATTAAAACAAGAGTTTGGATGTATTACACAAACCATGACGTGGAGCTTTTGCTCACAATAGTATAGAGAAGTAAAATGCTGAATGAAAAAAAGTTGGAATTATGATGTGCGAGCCTAAATCACAAATCTTTGTACACAGAAATCAAACAGAAATCCAACAACAAAGAAGTGATTTTCTCTTTAAGTCTTGCACTGAAATCAATTACCTGTTACCTCTATCCTTTACCTATTTCGTGTTTCTTAATCCTCTCCTTTATCTGCATGAATACACTCCTCATGCCACTCTCGCAATGAACTGCCATCTGGAGGTCTCTTCGTGTTCTTCACCGATCATCCTGCCTTGAGGTTCCAGTCAGCAAAGCTCGTCCTCACCTTTTCCTTCGGGTCGGTCCACTGTTTGATACTGCAAAGTTGTAACACCTGGCCGGCTTAGAGACACAGTATCTTTTGTTTCGTCAGTTTTCTCTAGCTTCGATCAGCTGAGAGATGATCAGACGAGCCTGAGCTTCAGATATTCACCATAGGCCGTGCCCGTGTGTGCACTTGTGACGCTGGAGTCGTCAATTTTGAACGCTGCACTCGAGGACAAATGCTCCGTACCCGATAAATGGAACACTTGCTGTTCGCTTTAACGATATACTTTTGTGGAGGCTGGATAGTTCGAACTCGTTCTTAGCGCAATAATAATAATGCTAATAATACTAAGATTTTGAATGAGCTCTACGAAAGTTTGAGAATGATCGACCGTCCTTTACGATGCTCGGCACAACCTGATCAGGCGATGGCTGATCACGGCCCGAATTTTGTTATGATAACGAAGTTGTGCATGATGGTCATGTAAGTGTAGGACTGGTAGAGACTCCAACAGTTAGCCACGATCTACTCTACCGATCGCACGGTTTTCCGTAAGAAGAGTGATTCTCACCGAGTCCAAATTCCACCGTCTCCGCCTCTGCCGGCGATTCCCGGACTTCACTAGATCCTGAGTAGAATTCAATACCCCCGGCTCGCTGTGAACTAAAAGAATGGATGCGCCACCGCTTCCGAACATAGGCCGTTCGACAGTTAAAAATACAATCAGACTTGATCTTTCGGTACTTTCGAGGCGAAAGGTCGCAGTGGGAGGAGAGCCAACACTCACAACGAGATAATTTCCTCGTGTTTTCGCTCACGGTAAATTCTGCTCGAATTCGTCAAAGTCAGAACCTTTGATTCCCACCACATTCGTAGGATTTTGGGAAGATAACTTAGAAATTCTTGTTGTATTTTTAATGGTGGAGCCGCGCGAAGATAACTTAGAAATCCTTGTTATATTTTAATGGTGGAGGGCCGCGCGAACGCGAGCCCTCCGCTGCCACAAATTATGACGTGCATTTTCCCCTTGGGGAAATGCTACGACTTGCCCAGCCGTAGTGCAATGGCGAGGCTCATCGTAGGTCATCGCCCTTTCGGATCAGCGATAGGCCCCGCCCAGGTAAGTATGTTTCCCTCTCTGCGTAGGCCGATATTATTAGACTCCACGAGGTGCTCTGCGCCCCACGCGTATGGGTTTATTCATCCGCATCTCAGCGTGACGGCGACAAACAGCGCGAGCGGGAAACTTGAGACATTGCGATTTTCTGATATGCTCCCCGCTAGTAAGAACGCTTCGCGGCTGGATCTGCAAGAGCTGAGGTAGCTTCTGAACTGCTTGATCTGATCTCCGTTCAGTGCATTCTTGAGGCATGCAAGCGAGCGAGTATCTGCGCTGGAATTCGTGCGGAAGGAAGAGGAGCTCCAGTTTGACGAGGATTCTTCATTCCAATTTTACGAGGCCTTTAATTCCAGGTGTGAAATCCGATTTTTTTTCTCTCTCGTTGTGTGATCATTGCTGGTTTTCGACTCCCATGATGGGAGTCGAAAACCATGGGTCGAGCCGATGGGAGTCCCATCGGCCACTCAATCTTCCATGTACCTACCAAAGGAGGCGCAGAACAGGATTGAAGGAGATGATGCAAAGTCAGGTGGTCGGCCATGCTCAAGACTGCGTCAGTGAAAGAAGAGCTCATACTGTTCACACAGTGAGCAGGAACAGCTTTCTCTCCAGCGTTTTTCTCAATCGCTCACTCAGCGACGAATCCTGGTTCAAGACAAGTGCCGGAACTGCGGGCGACAGCGCAAATCCTGCTGCCCGTGTCGACACTGGATTTCCCATCATGGACTACAATGGCAAACAAGTCAAGTCGAATGTCCCCGGACCCATGCCTGCCCAGACCCCGACCGATCGCACGAAAATCCACCACATTCTCCTCTTCTTAGGATGGGGAGCTCATGCAGCAATCGCTGCCGGCAGCTGTAGCATGCACAACACAATGATCTGACTACGAGACAAGATTGCTGACGATGCAACTTGAGCAGGAGGTGAAGAATTGAGTCCATACGACTCATAAGAATGGTGGGTATCCGATTATGATGGGGCACTCCATTAATGTACAACCTCTCACCATGACGTAGTCCAGAAATTAAGATGCATTGTATAACTGAACTGAATCATAAACAATAATTACAGTTAGTTATGGAACTTGTACTTTATGGAAATTATCTCCAGAACAATCTAGTATCTCAGGTACAGAAGAAAACCCCCGATTTCATGCCAATTAGTTTTTTAGCAAACCTGATAGTTACAGCCCTGGTATGTATAGACTCCAAGCACGGGATCTGGCGGTAAAAGTGTACACAATCTTGGGTCTGATTGGATATCTTTAAGTGAAAAATATGAGCAAAGGACACTTTCACATATGTTTTTAAGCATTAATGACAATCGTCAAGCTCACACTACACTTAGAACTATGTTTGATGGTTTGGGTCATTTTCCGGCACTGATTTATGAGGCTCAGGATTTCCTCTTATATCAATACAATCCGAAAGTTAGCCTTATGCCCATTATTTCTTCTCTGGACTTCAAATAGAGAAAAAGTAATATAAGAGAATTTCAAACATCATATATTTCTACTGAGATATTTCTTTTTAAGAAAAATGACGAGTTCAGAAAATCGTATAAGCTAACTTTGAGTGAAAGTTAGTCCTACATCATGCAACAACATGATAGTCCACAAAGCTATCAATCAAGTCTACCAGTTTGTCAACATCAACAACAAGTTTCTTTTTGAATTTTTTAGGTTTTTGGATTTAAAATATTGAATATTTTTTTAAAATTTCAAAACCCTAAAGTGATTTTGGTAGAACTTTTTTGTTTATTGTTTAGGTTCTACACTATGAGTTTTACAGATAGATTGTGTTGGTGCATTGGAGTTTGTGTTGAGGTTAACTCCGGTTAAGGAGTAACCTCAGGCTCTAGCTATTTATAGTTATGTGTGTCGCTGGCTTTAGGTATAAATATACCTCCAAAGCCAAGGCTTGGTAGTGTAGCCGAAATATTGTGTATTCACTTGTCAGTAAACCTGCTAAGTGTTCCAGCCGTGGATGTAGCTCTCGAAGGTGAACCACGTTATATGAATGTCTTATGAATGATTCTTGATTTTTTGTTAACAGATGGTATCAGAGCCAGTTTTAGATTCGGATATATAGTGAGTTTGTGTGCTGAAGGTTTTCTTAGTGACAATTTTCAGCTGACAGTTTTCTCAGTGACAGTTTTCAACTAAAGGTTTACTCAGTGACAGTTTTCAGCTGACGGTTTTCCCAATGACGGTTTTCAGCTGACGGTTTTCTCACGAACAGTCAGACAGTCAAATCAGAACGAACAGTCAAAACAGAACTTAGGTTACACTTCAACTGACGGTTGTGAATTTTCTTCAGATTTGAAATTTTCTCGAAGTTTAAGTTTCAATTTCAATTTCGTTTCTCGAGGTTATCTCAAAATTTCAGGTTCGTTTTTCTCGAAATTTTCTCGAAGTTTCAGTTTCTGGAAATTTCCTCGAAGTGTCAGTTTCAATTTCTTGAAGTTGTTCTCGAAGTTTCAGTTTCAATTTCTCGAAGTTTTCTCGAAGTGTTTGTTTTCAGTATTTATATTAGGGCTCCCTTAAGGGACAAGGAGCGGCCGCCACCCCTGTGACTAGGGTTTCAGTTTCGTTTCTCAAAGTTTCAGTTTCGTTTTTTCTCGAAATTTTCTCGAAGTTTCAGTTTCTGGAAATTTCCTCGAAGTTTCATTTTCATTTTCTCGAAGTTTTCTCGAAGTTTTTGTTTTCAGTATTTATATTAGGGTTCCATTACGGAACAAGGTGCCCGCCACCCTTGTGACTAGGGTTTCGCAGGGCCTTCCCCACCCCCTGCGCACATTCCTCGCAGATCACCATCTTAGCGGCGGGGGGTCAGCACTTCCCGAGCGACACACAGAGGCATCGCGGGTTCCGGGCGGCGCGGGTGAGAGCCGAGTGAGGCATCGCGGGTTGGCACATTGCGAGCGACACGTGCAGGCACGTCACGGGTGGGCACATCCAGGTGAGAGCTGGGCGGCGGGGGCACTCCGCGAGTGATAGCCGGGCGGCGCGGGTCATCACTTGCGCGAGTACACACTCTGGGTGGGATTTGAACCCACAACCTCCTGCTTGCGAATGCGAAGCTCTAACCACTGAGCGACTGCTGTGAACGTGGTAGGAGGTACTTACATTCCTATAAGAATTGCAAAGGCAGAAGTAATAAACTGTGCAGAGTTCACTACGTAGTTGTAATTGGACGTGGTCCGCATCCTATTGAACGTAGTACACGTCTACACGGTTAGGGTTATACAACTTCGTAGTTGGACGTGGTCAGGGTCAGTTTGAGGTTGGACGTGGTTGAAATTGAAAGAATTCACTGTGCACATGGTCAGTTGTGGACGTAGTTAGAAAAAAAAAAAAAAACGTTTGGAGTTTAGGGTACGCGCTCAGGTGACGGATACAGTCGTGAGCGACAGTGGTCACGGGCGACAAGAGTCGCGGGTGACGGATATAGTCGCGGGCAACGGTGGTCACGGGCGACGGATATAGTCGCGGGCGGCGGTGGTCACAGGTGACGGATTTTTTTTTAAATTTAAATTTAAATTTTAATATTTTTTTTAGTCGCAGGCGACGTTAGTTGCGGGTGACGGATATAGTCGCAGGTGACAGACGTAAAGTGCATCTTGACCATTTTCACCAGCTGAAAATGCACCCGAAAGACGAAATTTCCGTGACAACAGACGGTATCTCTAGTTTTCGTCGAACTGAGATGACCTCGAAACAAGTTGCAGGAACAGGGTACAACATTCTTACTCTTGATGGCCGATCCGATTACTTGCTTTGGGAAAAGCAAGTGAAAGGCAAGTTGAGATCTATGGGTCTCGCTAATGTGCTTAAAGACAAACCAATGCACATTACTGACATTGATTGGAAGGATTCACAAGAGCAAGCAGTCTACATTGTGATGGGTTATCTTGATCCTTCGATGATGAAGCAAGTTGAGGAGTATCCTGAGGTTACACAACTCTTTGATGCCCTATAGAGACGGTTTCATCAGAAGGAAATCTCCCATGTGATGAATACCTACATGAGGCTATTGAATTTCAGGATGAGGCCAGACTCGAGAATTTAGGATCACATTCACGCCTACGGAGATTTGTTGGTAGATCTTTAAAGTATGGGAGAGGAGCTTTCTGACATTAAGAAAGCTATGCATCTACTTCACTCATTGCCTCCCTTCTATCAGACACTATCAAAAATTCTACTTCATCGTGATAACAAGGCTGTAACTTACAACGGGGTTGTAATTGCCCTTCTGACAGACGCGGTGGAACAGGAGATGTTGTCATTCTCTCGCCCATTCACTTCAAGTACTGCACTTACTGTGATCCGGGGTCAGTCGCAACCATCGGGTCAAGACAATTTGCAGCGTACAGGGTTCAAGCGGCAGAGATCAAGATCCCCTGAGCGTAGGAGAGTTCATTTTCAGGTTCCATCCCCTAACAAGAGGAGCTTGAAGAACTTGGTATGTTGGAGATGTGGCAAGCATGGCCATATCAAGAAGGACTGTCGGATGCAAATCAAAGATGCGAATCTTCCTCAAGTGGCGAATGTTGCGGAGCATCTTCACTCTGAAGAGGAAGACGTGTTTACCGACGGTCTATGATGCCAAAGGTATGCCCTCTGTAGTTCACCAACAGTTCTTGGTGATGTATGGATTTTAAATAGTGCTTGTTCTTATCACATTTGCTACATTAGAGAGTTTTTCTATACTTTCTCAACATCAAAAGGCTCTGTTCTTATGGGAAATGACCAACCTTGTAAGATTAAGGGTGTTGGATCTGTTAAAATCTGCATGTTTGATGGTGTAAATCGAACACTGACACACGTTAGATTTATTCCTCATATGAGAAAGAACTTGATCTCTCTTGGAGTGTTAGACTCACACGGCTTGGAGTGGAACTCTAAGCATGGAGTGTTAGATGTCAAATCCAGTGAGAAGAAGATTATACTTAAGGGTCATAAGCACAATAATCTGTACTTATTAGAGGGCACCACAATTTGTGGAGAAGTCAACTTTACCCGATCTCGTAGAGAGATGTCTCATTTATGGCATTCCAGACTTGGCCATATGAGTGATAGATACTTGTCTCTTCTTGATGACAAGAAAGTGTTATCGGGTTTGGGTACCCTTGACTTTGCATTTTGTGAACACTGCATCATGGGAAAACAACATAGGCAAGCTTTTAGTGTTGGTACTCAT